CTTGATTAGCTTTTTAAAACTTACTCATTCATTTAACAAAGATTTAGTGACTTTTATGTCGGGACTGTTCTAGGCTCTTGCAGTATGTCAATGAACCAGTGATCCTTTCTGTTGAATGGCTTATATTTCACCAGTGGGAGGCCATATATTTTAGTAAGTAGCAGAGCAAGGTCAAGGGTATTGGAATTATGTGGCCGTGCTGGTGAAGGAGAAGCAGAGTACAGTAGTAAGTAGAATAATCAGAGTAGGAACCATCAAAAACTGACCTATGAGTGAGGACTTGCAGGAAGAATCAGGGTTTGCCATTCCAAAATCAGGGAAGAGCATCCCGGACAGAAGGAAGTGCTTCAAGGCAAGATCTCCCCTGGCACATCTGAATAAGACCAGCATGGGGGCTGCTGTATCTGGAGCAGAGTGACTAGCAGGGATGGGAGCCATAGGAGATGAACTTGGGGAATTATGTATGGGAAGCCAGATTATATTCTAAAAACTCTGGTATTGTAGATTAGTAAACTGGGGAGCTATTACAAGATTTTGAACAAAAGATTTTGAACAAAGGAGTTATGGTCAGACTTTTCTTTCAAAAGAGTTAGTTTGGCTGTTGTGTTGAGAATAAACTCTAGAAGAAGGACAAATGTAGCCTGGTAACCAGTTAAAAGTCTGTGGTGGGAACCCAAGTAGAAGGTGGTATTGGCTGGGACAATCATGGAGGAGGTGAGAAATGGTCAGGTTTGGCACGTAGTTTGAAAGTAGAACCAATCTGGTGGATTAGATGGACACAAGATATGAAAGAAAAATAAAGTTTTTAGCCTGAACAACTAGAGAAACGTGTTTGCAGTTCAGCCAAATGGAGATGCCTGCTGGAAGATTCAGGGGTGGTGGAGGAAGATGAAGAATTCCACTTTGGAAATGTTGATTTTGAGAAGTCCATCAGAAATTCAAAGGAAAATATTGATGGAACTGTTGGATGTCTGGAGTTAATAGAGGATTGAGCTAGAGATAGGAATTTTGCATGTATTTGAATTTTTTATGCCATTTAATTTTGCATGATTTTAAGTACTTTTGGCAAATGACATGTGGCAGAGGGGTTGGAAGCCCTGAATCTGAGTTTTAGAAGAAAATGGCAGCTACAAAGTCTGTGAGGTCTCTTGTCTATTTTTCCTGGTTTGTGTAGTTTTAATCAGCCATTAGCAAATCAAAAGATTGTATATTTGAAAAATGTTTCATTCTTAAATTTTTTGTTTTGATAGTCCCTAAGGTCTCTTATCACAAATGTGGACTAGTACAATAACATTTGGTGAGTAAGCACAAATACACTCCCCTGTTTGGGTGTAATTGTTGTCTCCATTGATGATAGAAGAAACATAGTAAAATTCGAAAACCAAAAGATTGAGAACAAAGTGTAAACATGTCATAATCTATTTGTCAGCTTTAGTACACAGTAACTAGCTTCCAGGTATTAGTTATGAAAGATAAAATGATTTTGATAAAATTCAAAATGATTTTGATAAAGTTCAAAGTGAGATAAGGTTTCATAAAATAGTATGGGTTGGGTTTTTTTTTTTTTTTTTTGCAGATGGGGAGCCAGCAGAAGTAGGAGGGGCAGGCACTAGTGATTGCAAGCACCAAAATGGAAACTAAAAAGAGAGAAAGTAATTATGTAAATTGTAATTTTGGTGAGGCCTTGAGGATTTTTAATTTACATACTGTATTTGGAAGCACACTTAGTTCTTGTTTGGAGAGATGAAAGGCTTCGTAGCCTCATCAGCAGGCTTATGGCAATGCTAGTTTCTCCCGTGTGTAGTGCACGGAAGAGTAGAAGTGGCTGAGTGGGCAGTTGGCAGCCATTCATCGCATTGATTACAGTCATTCATAAAACCCAGCAGCACTGAGGGCGGAGACAGGAGCATTCCCTTGAGGTGGTTGCAGAAAGTCTTATTTGCATAAATCTTCAGTGATGCCTGAGTAGTGAGGGAATGCTCATGTGCAGTTTGAAGACTGTTAGGAGCCCACTTCTGATAAATCCCTAAGTAATTAAATACTTTGCAAAGAATAAGAGGTTAAAACTTTGAATTCCTAGTCTCTCGGCCTGTAGTAAGTCTGGGAAGTCAGCATTGTGGCACCATTTGTCCTCCCTCTGTCTGGCTGAAGGAATAAATCATATGTAGAGAAATAACTGCAACATGCTGAGACGTCATTGTTGTGTTTCTTAGAGTGTGAGGGGTCTGTCTTATTATAATAACTTTAATGCATGGGACATAATAGAAAGTGCTGGGGCCAAACATTTTCTAAACATTAGAACTGTCAAAACTCTTATGTTTTACCCCCCAAACTGTGATATGCCAGACACAACGATTATAATTTTAGAGATATGTTAATCTATGTAGGCTAACAAAAATCTTATAAGTATAGCATGTTTCTTTATGTGTCCATGTATATGAGTGTAGGGCTTTCTTATATCTAGAAAAAATTTTGGCTAAAAAGAAGTCAAATTAGAAAATGTAGGAATATATATTGTAAAATATATATTACCATAGTTTAGAGCCCCCTTAAATTGGTCGAACAATTAGCAACCTGGAATAAATAGATTTTCCCCCTAAAAACTCAGATTCAGTAGCTAGCTATGTCACTTTAATCCTGGGTTCAGGATATATGTTAGCCTGAAAAATATAGTTTTCCTGCTTTTTAAAATTAAATAAAGCATATTAACTGATTCAAGTAAATATATTTTAAATTAAGTATATATATATGAGTTAATTTTAAATATATTGCTATTGGGTATTTATGTTTTTACTTTCATTATCTAATAAAACTTAAAAGTTCACACATTTAAATAATGTTTTCATTTCAATGATTCTATGGTATGAGCAGACACAGTAGTATGTCAACCATTATAATTTTAAAGCAAAATTACTTGGTACTTGAGATTAGGTGAAAGTTTTCTTTTTTAAATATATTTTATTGATTATGTTATTACAGTTGTTCCATTTTTCCCCTTTATCTCCCTCCACCCTGAACCCCCTTACCCCCAACATCCTCCTTCCCCTTAGTTCATGTCCATGGGCCATACACATAAGTTCTTTTTGGCTTCTTCATTTCCATATTATTCTTAACCTCCCTGTCTGTTTTCTACCTACCACTTTTGTTTCTTATTCCCTGTCTTTCCCTCAAAAAAAAGTTTTTCTTAGAAACCTACCCTAATGCTGGTATTCCACATTTATTAGAAAAGAATCAACTTAAAATCATATTTAAGGAAAACTAAGTAGCTGATTTATTTCAAAGCTTTGCCATTAAATATCGGAAACTTTAAGGAAAAAAGAAAATGAACTAAGATAGAAAGTTGCATATAGTTTCTCACAGATAAGTTCTTTAAAAATTTTTAAACTTGGTGATATTTCCGATATTTTCACAAACCAGTCCATGTTTAAAACATGCCATATGTGCTATTTTAAGTTGGGTTAGAATTGCTAAAGATTTTCCAGTGCTATGAAATTTAACTTCCTGGACATTCCACTCTATGTAAGTCAGATTAAAACGTCAGAGTTAATAAATCCTAGGATGTTACTTCGCCCTAACAACTGCCTTGTTGAATGTTCTGCTAACTCCGCAGACTGAGTGGCTGTCTCCTACTATACAACCGCAACAAAACAGAAGGTCTTATGGTTCTGGTAGAAGTTCTGGACTCACATCTCTTGACCAGTCCATTAAGAGTTTAGCATTATCTCTTGACAAGTCACTTTTTTATCTTCACCCCAAGAGGGGCGTGTGTTGAGGCTTTGCACTGGCACCATTTTCTTTGCTCGTCACGTCACATACTGATTTCAAGTCTTACTTGACCTCGTTTGGTGGAGCAGTGTGTTTGTGTGCACATTTGTGTGCGTTGTGTCTGTGTTTCCCTGCACCATTTCCTTCAGAAGTGGAGAATTTAGCCCTCGCAGCTTTTTGATTTGGGAAAGTTTATCTGCCACTGCCTCACCACTAATCCGCTTCTGAAAAAACATGACTGGCCCTAAATGTAAGTAGTATAGTCAGCACTCCAAGAAACCTCCGTGAAAGTTTAAGAACCCAATTTATGTTTGAGTATCCTGGGTCCCGAGAAGGTGTTTCCATTTAGAAAAGTCTAACATGTGAGGGTCTCAGCTTTATAACCAAGGCACCCCTATTTAAAGCAATGTTTGTTTTAAAGCTTTTGAGGTGAAGGAATATCTGAGCTATGGGAGTGTTTGTGATTTTCACCCATTAATGCCCCGGGTGCTTTGTAAGCCCTGTTGACATGAGGGTAAGAGTGTGTCCTTCTGTTGCCCTTTGGGACTTTGTTATATCACCTGCCCTCTGCATTTACTTATCCTGTAGTGGGGGACTTAAGACACATAGACCGTTTACTACTTTTTCACATTGTGAATGCATCTTCTCTATTTATTTTACACACACATGACACACATGCTTTATATGCAGATATTGTCTTCTAACTCTTCCCCTTTTTTTAGCTTGAAGGGGATTTTGAACTTGAGGCTGTCTGGAGGCCTCTAAGGTCTCTTCTTGCATTAAGAGGAAGACCCGTGTTGTGATGGTGGCATGAAACAGGAGTCCATATCTTTTCATGAATAGCCAAAGCTACAGAAAATTCTGCTCCTCTTTTAACATATCATCACAACAGCTGTTCCTATTCTTAAAGTTTTCAGATGTCTTCATATGGCGAGGCCAAAGCTTTCAGTAGCATTTCTTCTGTGGGGAGAGCTGCTGACAATCATTTATTGGTGTTAAAAGGAAAGTCAAATAGAGAGGCCAGCACAGATTGTATTTGGGTATAACTGAGCTCTTGGAACCCCGAGTCAACGATTTCTAGCCCTAAGGGCTTTTCTAGGGCCTCCAGGTTAATGTTTAAGGGGCTTGCAAAGATTTCCCCCCAGACTGTGTTTTTAGTGCCGTGTTTAATTTCCAGGTTTGTTCTACCCTTTTTATAATTAATAGTGCGTTGTGCTGTCTATCATGCGCCCCAGGTGTGTTGTCAGGGACATGGCGAAGCCTGCTGCCTGCAAAACACCAAGAAATGCTGAAACCCAGCCCCACCAACCTTCACCGTGAGTATGGCATTGGTTTTATTGACTGAAAATGTCGTCTTACACAAATCACTGGTTGCAAAATTTATTAATTCACATTGCATGTGGGCATAGCTACTCTCATGTATGTATGTGTAATAAAAAGGCTACTGTTGAATTGGATAAAATGATCTGGAAGCATGAGCTCTATGTTGAGTATACTTGTTAAATGATATTTCTAATACTGTATTAGGAGCATAAAACTAATTAGAGGAAAGGGACACATTTTGGGGGCTCTAGGGTGACAAATTCTATACCTATTGGATTTGGAATGCATGTGGGCTGGAGACTAAGACTCTGGGGAAGTAGGGGGTCAAGGTACACAGGGAGGGGTGGGGCGCGTGAATAAGGGAAAGGCATAGGAAGTCTATCACCCACCTTCACACTAGTTATTTAAAGGTGGTGGGCACTCTGAAAGAGGGGGTTGCCCACCTGCTTTTATTTGTATTATCGTAACCTCATGTGTAGGTTCTAGTGAAGAGTTAAATGACCAGCCAGAGGGGAAAGCAGGAAGTAGAGAAGAAACCAAATAAGTTGACTCTGGGTTGCAAATGTGGATTTTGATTAGATAAAATGTAAAGAGCTTTGAAATTCTGCAGAGTAACACGATATAGTCAATCTTCTGAGAAGAATTATGCTTCTGGTAAGAAGAATTAAACAGTCCCTTAAAATGTCTCAGCAGAGGCAACACTCTTAGCATAACCACTGTCGCCAAGTAGTTACACCGGAGAAATACCTCCTTCCAAGATTTTTAGCAAAAAGTCTTTGAAGAAATGTGTCCTAAGAGTGATTTTTAAATAGATTTCTTTAGCTGTCTGAAAATTCTTTGAAGCAAAACCAAAATAAAATGATAAAATTCTAAAAAGGCTCCAAGAGGAAAAGTAAATTTTTTAATACTTTTGCTGTGACAAGTAATTTTTATTAACATTGGCAAAGACTCAAGTTAAATGATGTATTTAAATGCTTACATTTTGTATCCTACATACAGTCATAAATAATTTGAAATTATTTATGCTTTAGGATATAACATTTTATTAAATAAATTTCAGGATGCTTATAGATTTATTATAAGTGTCCTGAAATAAGGGTATAGATTTTATAGATGGTTATAAATTTTATCTCAGTGAGTATACTTGAAAATCATTCTACGTTTAATCAGTATTTTTTAAGGAATAAAAATAATTTTGATTTAACCATAGTAAAGGTGATTTATAAGTACATTGAAAATAAGTACATAGTAGAGGTGATTTATAAGTACATTGAAAATAAGTACAAAGCTTGAGGTACTGTTAATGATGTTGCCATTTTTTAATACTGTAAAGCAATTTTCCTGATGATGGAAAAACTTATGATTTGCACATTCGATCCTATGTTCTAGGTCATAAAAATATTTTACGTATAATTCAAGCAATTTTTTGGAAATATTTTGAGGAGTTCACATTTATTTTAAAATATGATCCGCATGTTGAGGTTCCATTTAAATTGTCATTCCTTTCAACAAGACTTTAGATTTTCCCCTTATTTATGTATTTATTTTTTACTTTCCATAGACTTAGAGTTGTGGAAACATGGTGCAATCCCTTTGCTTATTATATACTTTTCTAACTAAATAGTCAACCTCTCTGGGTGACTTGAAGAATTGAAAATTTACACTCATTCCTTATTTTCTATTGATTCTCTTCAGCTAGTGGTGCATGCCACCTATGTCCCTACCATCTAGGTTGCTTTGAAAAGGCAACAACAAACTGAAGGTAGGGGGTGATTAAGCTTGGGCTCTAGCTTGTAGCTCAGTGTTTTTCAATGGTTAAATCCTAACTTACTCGTGAGTCTGAAAATCAATAGAGGCTAGTTTTTTGTTTGTTTTTAATGTCGAATGGAATATATTAGAAAATATAAGAATGCAACTCTAACTGGTATTAGTAGGATCAATTTAGATTTCTATATACAATAACTGGGTTAAACTATAAATAAACACTAACTTAATTCTAAGGTTGTGGAAATGGGTTTTAATTAGGAGAGTGGTTTAGTCAGATTTTTATTCTATGTATATGTGTGCATATATATATACTATGTAGTACTCTACTTTGGCAGAGGTGGGGAAAATGGTGTAGGAATATGATGTGGACAAAACTAGAGACAAGCAAATCAGTTAATAGACTATTGTAATAGTCCATAGAAATATGGTAAGGACTTGACCTATAGCAGAAGCAGAAGGTGTGAGAAGGAAGCATCTCAAGACCTGAGTAAGAAGTCCAGTGGGATTGTCACTGTAATATGGTTTGTAAGGAAAATATTTGGGGGGCTATCGTATCATTGATTTGGGTGATTAAGAACCGTTGTCTTAGAGAGAGAATTAAAGAATCAAACCAGGCACAGGGGCAAGTGGGTAGGGGGTAGTACAGATTTTCATGTGATGATAATTTTCTGGTACATGTGCTTTATTGAAGGGTGTTAAGTCCAAGAAGTAGTCAGATAATATGAACCTGAAGCTTTAAGTTAAATGGGAAAGTAGATGCCATCACCAAAGGTTATCTATCTAATTAGGGAAAAAATACTGGAGAGAATTCTAGATAAAAACAGTGCCTAAGGAATGGGTAAAGGAAGAGGATCCCTAACTCAAATTAGAACTAATAGTTAAAGAAGTGGGAGAACCAGAAGCCAAGGTAGCAGATGGATATAAGGAAAATGTCCAACGGTATCAAATACAGCAGAAAATCAGTAAATAACTTCAGAAATTAAAAGCATCCTTTGGATTTGGCCATGTAGAAGTCAAGGGAGACATTTGCCATAGCAGTTTTATACATAAGTGCGTGACTCTATTTCTGTGAGTGTGATGAGGAAATGAGAAGTCAGGGAAAGGAGACTGATTGCACATGCCTTTTTTACAACCACTGGCCAAGCAGGGGAGGGAGCTACAGTGGCACACAGAGAAATAGGAAGTAGGGTGACTGCACTTATGTTACTTGGTCACTCAAGTATGTCTAGATCGGTGGATACACATGTCAATATAATTATGTCTTTGATAACTGTGTACATAAAACATCCAAAGATTATTTAGTTATTAAAATGTCACTCAGTCATGTTTTAAGCATGCCATGTAAGTTGTCATCGCTTAAAATATTAAATATATAAAAATATTAGTGGAGTTCAACAAATTGAGTCTTATGCCTCTTATTCCTCAGGTATATGATACATTATATAAATAAAGTAGAATTCCTGTCTTAAGACTTCCCTCTCAAGTTGGGGACAGCATTTATATAATCAAGTAAATTATAGTACTATATAGTGCAACACTAGAAGTATGTTTAAAAAGAGAGAGAAAATGGTTTGCTCTGTTTGGGGTTGGTGTGGTCGGGAAAGTATTTACAACCCTCTGATAGTTACTATGAAATTTGAAGGAGGAGTATTTCAGGGGTAGGCAGGTTTGGGACACAGAGTTTCAGAAGGAGCCCAACATAGCAGCTTGTGCTGCTGTAATATAAAGCATGAATATAAAGTCAGAGGCTGGAGCCTATGACTGTTCATGTGTGTGTAGCTGTGTGTAAGGGTGGGATTTCATGTGTGTTTGGGGTGTAAGTATGGGTATAAAACATGAAAGAGAGGGAAAAAAGTGACAGGAAGGAGAAGTACTGCATCAGCATCTCTGAGGGACAGGACACTTGTGGAATTGGAGAAAATTAGCAATACATCACTTTACTCTTAATATGGTATTTTGAAATTGGACATAATATTATGGGATTTTTATATTTTTCAAAATAACCAGGAATTTAAATGTCTTAATTTGGTTTTACTTTTAAATACCACATTTTAAACTTTGCTCTAACATTATAGGATTTTGTGTGTTTCAAAGTGTATTTTTCACTTGTGTATTCATCAGTATCAATCATGGATTTTAGTGGGAATGAGTAGGAGAAATAGGTAGGGCAGATTGGAGAATGTTTTGCAGGTAGTATAATTATAATGATTCATTAGATGTGATAATGAAGAAGAGAAGAAATAGCACACTTTAGCTCAGGAGATTAAATGAATGTGATAAAATTAAAAGAGAATTAATTTAGGTACTAAAACAAGTTTAGGTTTCACATTAGACTTGTATATTAGTGGCCAATTAAAATATCCAGAAGACAGTTGGCAGTTCATATCTGAAACTCAGGAGAGACTTAGATGAGATAAACTAATTTGCGAGCAATTACTTTATAGTAAAAACCATAAAGATAACTGAAATAGCATAGGAAGGTGTAGAGTTAGAAGGAAAGAATGTAAAATACAGCATAGAGGATCTCTCCAGTAGTTAAACAAAGAGGAGTGGAATTAAATACCATAAATTATGCAAGATCATTCAAGAATAAACTCGTCCCAGTTTTCCTGGAATTTTCTATGTTTTAGTACTGAAAGTCTTGTGTCTTGGGAACCCCCACTTAGTCCTGGGAAAACTGGAATGGTTGATCACACCAGTGCTGGTAAAGTTGACATTTGAAAGTAAAAATCTAGAAAAAGAGTTGATAACCAAGCAAAAAATATGCTTAGCAAATAATGTTTATATGACAGTGGAAGGTGACATTATTAGAAATAAATTGAATCCAGAGAGGTAGGTAGATCATAGTTTAGTTCAGTCTTTTTTGTTTTGCTTTGTTCTTGTTGGTGATTGCCTGCTTTTTAAAATTAAGATATAATTCACGTATCATACATACAACTTACCTTTTTAAAGGGTACAGTCGAGTGGGTTTCACAAGCTTTTGCAACCATCACCACCATGGAACTTCAGAACATTTTGACCCTCAGAAAGAAACCTAATGTCCATTTGCAGTCATCCCGTTTGCACCGCCCCCCAAAAAAAAACCCAGCTCTTAGCAACTACTGGTGTACTTTCTGTCTCTATGAATTTATCTATTCTGAACATTTAATATAAACGGAATTCTACAATATGTGGTTATTGATGTCTGGCTTTTATTATTTACATTTTCTCAAGATTCATTCATGTT